AAATTAAATATTGTTCTGTCACCAGAGGATTAAAGATGTACTAAAAAAGGACAATGTGAACAAGAAAAGCTGCCTTAAGAGCATCAGGTAATGTTTTTTTTTTTTGTCTTTTTTTTTGCACCAACTCACTAAATATAATGTAGTTCTAGACTACTTGCCATTTTCCCAGATATATTGGTTCCAGACAAACTCGTGTTTGTTTTAATATTTATTTAGTGTTAGCTACATAAAAATGGTTTATTGGTTAATATTTAATTTTCCATTCAATCAACCCCATTTATATGAAGGTTATTTTACTGTCCAAATCAAATTGATTAAAATATATTTGTATTTATTAAAAACAAACACATTTATAATAGGACTGTGGCTAAAGACAACTGAAAAGGTATTGTATTGCAACCAATCATCATTTGATGTATTTACAGTCAAAACTACTCCTCTGAGGAAAGCATTTCAGCAGAGGAAGCATCTTCACAGGAAAACAATCCTGCAGGTCACAAAAATAAAGTCCTCCAGTACATGTACATTAAAATGAAAGAGAAGAACTTTAAAGTGATGTAACCTAAAAGTGGACTTCTCTTCTGCAGTAACACTAAACCTTGAAGAGGAAGTGAACACAACTGGAGCCAAGAAGACCACTGAAGGTCGGTCAGAAACATCTCTGAAAGGTGGGACAAAATTAGTGGTAAGTACAAAAAAAAAAAAGAGAGAAAGTGTTCACGTGAAACAACATGCTGTGCAGCCAAACATCTACCTGTTGACTATTTTAGTACCTTAATACAGCCAAACACATCTTACTGACATTATGGGACTATTGAGAAATTGACAGCATTGCTTGTTTAATGGACAGGGCGAAAGTAGACGATTCAGCAGCCAACGAAGTGCCAGAAAAGCAGCACGAATGGCTCGGGTGAGGGACCATTTTGCTAGGAGAAAATGCGGAGAGAGTGACACTGAAAGAGATGAATCTACTCCAGAGGCGAAACGAGCAGCAGAGCAAGTAAACGTAGAAGGGGTGCCGTCATATTCTGAGGACAGCAGCACGTCAGATCTTTGTAACGCCTTGGAAACGTGCCTCAAATCCCCCGCCGGTATTCTACATGGCAATTTACAAGCAAGTCACAACATGACTCATAACTGGCCGGAGAAAGCTGAGATCCCAACACAAGCTGACTTGGCCTCTGCTGGATTGGCTGATACAGAAATCTCAGACAACCCATTACATCCAACTACAGAAGGCCAAAATGTTACCAGCTCCATCTCCAGAGCTGAGGAGGAAACTCAGAGGCAGGACACCCATCACGATGTAAGGAACAACCCTGCAGCTGAATCTGTCGATGGTGCTATTTCAACAGGGATCAATGAAAGCCTCTCTGGTCAGAACAACGGCACATTTGGAACTGTGGTGGCTCCACTGTATAATCAGATGTTTGGCAAAGTAGGAAGTGAAAGTCAAAGATTTGCTGACTGGAAGGATCCTTTTCAGACTTCAAAACTTGCTCCAGATTTAACACAAAGTCATATTAGCCCAGAAAAAAATTACTCAACAAACGCTGAATATAAAAAAGTGAAGGAACAGAAAAGTGAGAGTTTGATGGCAGAGAATATCATGGAAAAGTCAAACCAGGAAAGTAAGAACACACCTGAAGGTCCAATACCTCTATCTGTAAATAGAGAATCCCAAATACCTAGTGAGGAGTTACAAGACCACAGCCTGCTTTTTCACTCACTAACTGGAACTGATGAAAATAATGCTGTTACACAAAGTGATTCTCCAAAGGCCATGGCCAGCATAACGACACAATTCTCTCTGTGTCAGCAAAATGATATTACTTCTGAGTCATACACAAAAACCAGCATCTTTGGACAAAATGAGTCAAATGCAGATGCTGACATATGTGAAAACAAGACAAAATCTAACACTAATGCATCTCCAGAGGTGGATACTCATTTCGAACCTTTATATGATTTTAATACAAAACAGATTCAAAATTCTGCTGCCAAAGAATCAACAGAGTTCTTGTCACCTGTGACTTGTCAAGACGCTCACAAACAAAATAACAGTGTGCAAGAAATAAATGAGATGAATGAGGATGAAATCCAGTGCCCAGATATAGTTAGTAAAAAAGCAGCTGGTTTAATAGCTAACACACAAGTAACATGTGATAGTGACACGATTGAAAAGATGAAAGAAAACGACACGTTAATACATGAACCAAGATTAGAAATGTCAGTGCAGGAAGATCTTGTTTTAGAAGATTCATGTGTTAAAAACTGGGAAACAATGGTCGAAGAGGAAGAGGAGACAATAGTAACAGATTGTGAGAAAAGTTCAGATTCATTAAGATCTGAAATTTACCAAAGAGTGCAGGTGGAGAATGCAGAGAGTGATGTAGCAACAGAAAAGGAAAACAAGAAACCAGCGGAAGGACCTGAGAAGACCACGGCAGCAGAAGTCAAATATAGTTCAGCAGAAGTTGCGGTGGTATTAGAATATAAAGAAAGGGTCAGAAATGAAACATTTAGCATGATGATTGCTGCTGCACAAGGTACTGAGAAGGAAGAAGAACATATCCAAGCTGCAAAGACTGAAAAAGCAGCCACAGTCAAAAAACAAGTTGATGAGAATGAGGAGGTAGAGAAGAAATCTGAGCAAAACAAAGAACAGATACTCACTGAACAATCAGAAATGCAAGACGTCATAGTTAGAATAAGTGGTGTTCAAGCGATGGAGGCAGCAGGAAAAGAGAAAGAGGTAGAAATACATTTGGACAACGGGGACGCCTTTTCTGGACTTAAGAAGAATCAAGAAAAACCTGTGGAAAAGATTAAAAACGACAATCCAAATTTGATATATGGGTTTGATGTTGATGAAGTAAAAACGGAAACAGTAGCTTTAGAATCAAACTGGAGGACGACAGAAGACGTTGTACAAGACGAGAAACATTCTAAACAGAGGTTAGATTTGACTCCAGATATAGTTGAAGATGTTGTTCATACTCAGGTGACCAGTACAGAGGATACAGGTTTTAAAGACAGACATGGGGTGGATGAAGCTGCACACATTCTACCTGAAATTGTTGTTCACAAAGAGGCAGATTTTCAAAACAACAAGACTGTCATGAGTGATTGTTCACAAGACCAGGTTGTCTCATATGCTCTAGAGCCAGATTCATGCTTTTTACGAGATGAACCTGAAAGTGACCAGGTGAGCCACGACAGTGAATCAGCAGAATCAGATTCAGACGATGAGGTGGAGCTATACATGCGCTGTCTGAGAGCTGTTCATGCAGGCTCACAGGCCACCAAAGACAAAGCGACAGGTCAAAGTTCAGGAAAGAGGGGCTCCATAAGCAGAAAGAAACAGCTGCCGGTGCCCATGCCTTCCATAAAAGAGTCTCTGGATGAAGAACCACAACACAACTGTCTTCAGGACAATATTGAAAACACAAACACAACAGAGATCCAACCTGATGGACCTGAGAGCAACAACAAACCTGTTACATGGTGGAAAGAGACATTTTCGTGGAGCAATATTTCAAAAACTTTGTTATACAGTACACTGGTATTTGTGTTTGTAGTTGTTGCGTATCACTATGATTTTCTCGCCTGTTTTGGACTTTACTTGATATCATTGGTTTGGCTTTGCTGCCAAAAAGAGACACCACCAGTGAAGAAGCGTTAACTACCCTGAGTGGGATTTTACCAATATAGTTTAAATGTCTAGGATTTTTCTTTTTATTAAAGGGGTTGAAAATCACAGTTTAATATAAACACAACTTAGTGAAAATATTAAATACATCTATGGAGAATAGTGGTTGCACGACATGGTGTGGAATCATGCTACCATGTGCCAGCAACTTCAAGATCTTGCAAAGATTTGATCTCCCCTGTGTAGTATCTTTTTTTTTTTTTTTTTAAAAAAGAACATGTTTTGTGGGGACTTATAATCTAAAAAAAAAGAACATGTTTTGTGAGGACTTATAATTCAACCTAAAGAATCCAGGAATGTAATTCTGAATATGTTCTACTCAAGATCTGCACTCACCCCACCTGAATAAATACACCAACAAAAAAAGCTGGTTCTCAGTCAGATTGTTTTCACTTACATTCTAATCAAATCACTTCTCACCACTTATCACTTAAAACATTATGACTAAGGAACACGTATAACCTTTTCTAATAATATTAAGAAGCCATGTGCAGTTTGTTTAAGGTATAGCCGAAAAGTCAACAGAAATTAACAAAAAACCCTTCAAGAATAAAAGCTGAATTGTGAGGAATTGTTTATCTTGTTTCATTCTCTGTTATAAAAGTATTTTTGAGGGGTATATGTTAAGGGGTGTGTGTACAAATCATGGCCATTAACAGCAGTTTACTTTATTAAGTCAAGCAAAATGATTTGGTTACAGTGTATAAGTAAAACACACATCTGTCTCCAACAGAGTAAATACAGAGTTTAGACAAACCACTTGTGCTACAGCACGTAGTCCCTGTTCACTGTTTGAACTTTGGCTTTCAGCACTGTTTTCGTTTTAAAACAGCTGCAGTATTGTACTCACCAGGGAATTCCAGGGCAGTCTGCCACTAGGATTACCACTCTCCCTTCTGCCAGAACGCCATTTTTAGATGCCTATAAATTACATTAACATTCTTGAAAAGTCACACAGTAGAGTAGAGTTAAAAAAAATTATAAAGATGCTAACCATTGACGTTTCATACTCGCTCACTTTACAAGCCAATAGTGAAGACAAATCAATATAAAGATGAGGTCAAGTACAGTGCAGAAATAGTGTTAAGATGTATCCTCTCGAAATTATCAAGGCAATAAATTACTTTATCAGTGTCCACCATGTTTAACATAACAATTAGGACTTAAGCAAACAAACAGGAAACAACTGCATTACATAGCCCAAGGTTAGTACATTTTGGCCCAGATTACCTATAGTAAAGTTACTTAAGACAAAAGCTGCAAGTTAGCTTCGACATCGTGTAAATTAAATGCTATCAACTTGAATAATAACCCAATTTTAAGGGTGTAATTGTACATCTAATTTATGCAGAAAGCTGATGTTAAGACATACAGGTGCTCTACAGAGCGAAAACTCACCTGAAAGAGTTACGTCTGAATCGATTCTACATGTGATTTACATCAGTCACCATGCTTTTACAATGCCCCTCATTGGACCAACTAAATAGCTTAGGTAGTTTAATAACTAAAGAACACATGCTTAAGTTCGACTCAAATAGTCATTGATATTTGAGGGAACAAAATGTTACTTTAACTACACCACCAAATGTTACAAAAGTCACATCGTACATTTCCCAAAATTTTTACAAGTGCACATAAACGCACCATTATGCGCACGCTCAGGTACGTGTTTTGAAGTATGATTGGTTAACAACTTGTCAGTTGCGCTACATGCCTGTCAGTTTCCGCCAATCAGCGGCCGTGTTATTAGGCAGTGCACCAGTTCGCCGGTCAGGTTGCTGCTTTGCAAAGGGGGGATCGTCTGGCGGAGGCATCGTCTGCCTCGCGGTGCTATGGACTACAGGGACAATGTCGAGACCGGAGAATCAGAAAACCTGTCGGAGCCGTTTTACGTGCCAATACCGGAGGAAACTCCGCTCAAAAGGGAGCAGGAGAAGTTGTCTGGCGTCGTGAAGAACGTCCACAGAAAACTGCGCAGGAAATACAGAGAGGGTAAGTTGCCTCTGTGGGCCCCTGTGTGGCCCAGTGTCCTACGGAAAACCCTCCGTGTTAGCTCACAAAAATACTCTATACGTTCTAATTGTGTCAGTGAATCACTTCTTATAACCCCCGAACCTGGAAACAGCAGTGGGAAGTAAATGGCATTCATCAATGAGGCCTTTAAAGCCTTTGCAAATGCTGTTGTTCCGGTGTCATTTTGCGTTTTGCTGTAAACATGTGTTATCTGGTGTTCTAAACCAGAGAAGTGGCAAGATAGACTTTTATAGCTTAATGGCCGACTCCAACCGAGCCTGTTTATTGACACTGCCTGCCTTGCTATTGCCTCTCTATTGTCAATAAATGTTGGAACTGAGGACTAAACAAACTTGCACTAGAATCTTGACAGTTAAAGAAGGATCACATCATATAGCAGGTATTTGTATAGCTAAAAAAAATTGTAACAGAAAAAAAGTCAGTGTTACTTTAACACCCTAAGCAGGTCTATTTAAACAATTATAGACAGTTAAGGAAGTAGCTTCATTTTCCATTGGCCTAACACAAACAGACTTTTCAAAATATTACATTTTACATCCCCATGGGTTTTGATTTCCAAGGTACATCTGCACCAGAAATAGCTCTGCTGACTTTTTCTTATGAACAACTGTATTACTTTACATATTGAAAAGCAGAACTAGACACAGTATGAAAATTAGCAAGTTCCTAAAAAAAAGTTAGTCAGTTGATGCAATCAAAAGACACAGATTCTTATTAGTGTTCAGGTTTTGTGAAGCATTACCAAATAACATCTGTGGTTTTTGCTTGGTGAGGTTTTAATTTATATCTGATCATTTAATTTACACTGTTTATAAAATCACTTGATTGATATATGTGCCACGTACATATACTTTTAAGAGGTATTATTCCATTGAAATAAGTACGCTGACTTAATAGCAGATGCAATGAGTCCTTTTAAAAAGGCTTAGATTATATTGTAACAACCCTAATGGATTAAGCTACAGTTATGAGCTAATATTACTTTCCATCTCTTTAAATAAAACTGCACTGAAAAAGATCCAACATGTTTTAAAAGGCTTTCTACAACTTAACCTGGATGAAACAGAAGAGGAAGTTTGGAAAACCCCTTTGAAAACATGTCAATTTTATGGCTCAGACTGTGGGGATGGTAGAAGTCTGGAACATGGGAGTTAAAGACCGTCGTTCACACTGATGCTCAGTCGCGCTGGCATTTAATAAATTCTTGATGTACACAGAGGCTTTGTGATGCTGCAGTCTCCCCTTTCTTCCATATCAAGGGACAGTTCCAATGTGGGCTGTACAGTAAGGAATAAAAGGCAGAATTCATGTTTGGTGTAAAACCTATCGGCAGGAGAGCAGCATGACATTTGACCTTTTTCAACCTATGCAGAAAATGTAAAAAAAGAAAAGTCCTAACCATTTTAACGTAGGCTTTACAGACATTTTAGTTAGTGTTGGTACACAGATCCCTATAGAGGGTGCTATAAACATGAGTATAACTCCTTTTGTCTATTAGTTGACAGCAGCAGAGAAGTCAACCTGTGAGCAGACCTCATGATTGGTTAATAAGTAAAGCATGATCTGGTAGGCTTGGCATTGACTCAGAACAGTTGTGCTTTCACATCGCCTATCTAACTCCACTGCCCTTGTTTTCTGATTGAGAGTTTTTTTGTTTGCTGTCATCATGGGATCTTTCTGCTCCAGAGGCTATGTATTTTTTTAAGCAGCTGCAACAATGTGGCTGTTTTTGTGGATACAATTATTTCAGAGAAATGCCTGACTGGGGTTCTTTTTTTTTTCACAAGCAATCTGATTAGTTTAGACGGTAAACAGCAACAGCTTTTTCCAGAGTTAAAGAGTAAAACTGCTGAAGAGCTGGATTACCGCATCTGGCAAGTAAGTTGTGAATAGTTGGTAAAGTATTAGGACAGGTCTGTGATTCTAGGAACGTGTGTTAAATTTGAAGGACCGACTTCTTTCCTTTTCATTTGTGAAGACAGATTTGATAGGTTGTTTTGTCCTAATTTCACTTTTTCCCCTTTCAGTGGGCGACTTTGATAAGATCTGGCGAGAACACTGTGAAGATGAACAAACACTGAGTGAGTATGCACTGGCCATGAAGAATTTGGCTGACAACCACTGGGCCAAAAACAGCGAGGGAGAGGGACGCATCGAGTGGTGTCGTAGGTATGATTGTGTCTTCAAATATATTTCCCTGCCGTCATATCTATTGTAATGGAGACATGGCTGTAGGACCAGATTCACCCCAGATGAAAAAGCATTCAACAGTAGTGTTAAAAAAAAAAGTTTTACAATATTTTGGTATAAATGATGTTGGCTGTGACCTCATCACCTCAGGCATACTATTAAATTAATATTATTGTGATTTGACATACTGCAGAGGTTCACAAAAAGTGTAACATCTGCAGAATGTAATTGAAAAAGACAGTTGTGACTCAGCACATTTAACAATACCGTTAATGAGATGTTTGTGTGCTATTTCAACAACTCCCTTATCTGTGTTGCTGAGGAGAAAAGTGCTTTTCATTGGTGCTGTAAATCCACTCGAACAGACTGTCAGTCTAATTAAGGCTGTAACTCACGATTCACTTCAATTTCCACAGTGTTTGTCAAGAATATTTTTTGAACGGCGGGATGAAAAGAATGTTGGAAAAAGACGAGAAAAGCTCCAAGATTGCCATGGCAATAACTGTGGCACCGGCAAATTCCCTACCACACAGCACTACCCCAAGGTGTGGTATACTGTTAACATTTGTCTACACCTGCAATACAGCTGTGTAAACACTGAAATAAAAAAGACAGTGAAGAATAGTCTTTACTGCATTCTTAACCTGTTGTTTAACTATACTGTAGTACTGTTGTTGCAATGACATCATTATCACTGACTTTAATAAAATGGACAACATGTAGTGCATATAAGGACACACTGTAACAACTAGTACAACACTAAAAAGGATTAAGTGCCAAACCATCTCAACTTTATAACTTTATATATTATTAGGTTGGAGGGAACTTAAAACTTAAGAGTTAGTTTTGTGTCTGCAGAACACAAACTAAAAAGTTGGGTGTGTCACTGATCCATTCACATTTATGTTACAGTTCAGTCTCACATCTGGGGAAAATGCGTCTCCTTGACGTAGGAAGCTGCTTCAACCCTTTCCTGAAGTTTGATGAATTTCTTACAGTGGGTATCGACATTGTTCCTGCGGTTGAGGTATGACTGTTTTTGTTATTCTGTTACCTTTTCACTCACTGGAAAGTTTAAATCATAGCTTTTTACCTCGACTTGTGCATGATGTCAAATATATGACACATTTTATGTAAATTTCTTTGTGGTGAGTGTGTTCAGACAAGAAACCTTTCACTGAAAAAGCGTGCTCTCCATTTGCAAAAGTATTTTGCAATATGTAGAAAAGGGAAAAGTTTGCATAACAAATAAAATCATTTGCAAGGCTCCAGACTCTAACTAATAGTGCAGAAATGTTTAGGATTGCAGACACACAACCCCTCTCCGGTCTTTGGCAATAGGAAAATAGTTTATTACACATACTGTATAAGAGCAACTTGTAAACAGTAGTTGTACAAGTTCCAAAAAACAGTTGTAAAATAAAATAAATGCTCTGTCTTGCGATATGACATCTTCATGGAGCAATTTACTGTAGTTTTAAATACAACAAAAAATATATTAATAGATTATTTGCATTGAATTAACAGAATTGTGTGTAAAATGACACTGCTCTTACCTGTAACTTAAATGTCAGTAAACAGAATGAAGCTAGTTGTTTAGAAATATTATAAATGTTCTTCTCATGCAGAAACAGATTGTCAAAACAACAGCTACAGTCAGATTTGCACAGTAACGGATGCTTTCTACCTCTTCCAGACCGTGTACAAGTGTGACTTCCTCAACTTGCAGCTCCAGCGGCCTGTCCAACTGGCAGATGATGCCGTGGAGGCCTTTCTCCGCCAGCTCCACAATCCCATCGATGCCCTGCCTGCGCAGCTGTTCCACGTGGTGGTCTTCTCACTGCTCCTCTCCTACTTCCCTTCACCATACCAGCGCTGGATCTGTTGCAAGAAGGCTCATGAGCTGCTGGAGCTGCACGGCCTGCTGCTCATCATCACGCCCGACTCCTCGCATCAAAACCGTCATGCACTCATGATGCGCAGCTGGCGGGTCGCAGTGGAGTCGTTGGGCTTTAAGCGATATAAATACATCAAATATTCCCACATGCATCTCATCGCCTTCCGGAAGGTGTCTCTTGCCACCACCAGTGACCTGGTGTCTCGCAACTACCCCGAAATGCTCTACATCCCTCAGGACTTCCACTCCATCGAGGAGGAAGACTGCATCGACGTGCCGGTGCGCTCGGAATTTGAGGATGACCAGCTGGCTTGCAGCTTCACTGAGCTGCCCGACACTCCCTATGATTCCGATTCTGGAGAGAGCCAGAGCAGCTCGGTGCCTGGCTTCCATGAGCTGGAGGACCCTATCTTGCTTCAGAGCTAGGCTAAAACAACCAGCTCCACCTGTACACAGCACTCCAGCCCAGAACCATGATGTACCCTTCAACTGCTGCGCTGCTAAATTTAATCTGCTGCATTCTTCTCTACCTTCACCTCCCTCTCCTATGATGCAGTTTGCACAGAAGCTGAAGAGACGTTTACAAATTACTTCCTTAAAAACACACACATTTGAAAATACAGACAGATAAACAAGATTGCGCATTAACAGAGATGGATATATTTTGATAAATAGTTAGCTTTTTTTAAGTGTTGGAAAATGAACACCCCCTCCCTCCCCCCGCTCCCTTTTTTCCACCCCAAGCTCTTAGAAACAAAACTCAGCTTGTCTACATTCTGTACTCAGTCTCTATTTGAATAAGCTAGTGTGGCAGGCTGATGGATAAGTATAAATGCCAAACGCAGCAACCCGAGCCGCCTGACAGAGGTTTGATTGCACTGGAGAGACTGAGATGGACTGACTGGACTTGAATCGCTTGCTTCTGTCACAGTCATGCAGCTAAACTGAAAATTCTTTGTGCATTTAGCTTTTTCTAGAATAGAAATGAAGTAAATAGTTTTTTGAAATCAACATAATCTCAACAATCACATTGATGTCGTCTAGTGCAAAGTGTGGCAATGCCATTTTTAACTTGGCATCTTGCGATTTGTGGATCTTTTACAAGAAAGCTGTATTTGTAGCATTTTAAACATTTTCAGAACCGTACAGTAGGAGTATTACTAGGTTTACTAATGTGAAATTGTAACTGTGTTTACTCATCGTGTAACAAGGTACGAGTGTTTCAAAGCAGATATTTCAGTCTTATCGTCCTGACAGATAAAACTACAAATCATCATCTCAGATTTTCAAAATATTTAGTGTCCTCACACAGAGAGTTCAACAGCGCTAATAAGTGACGCATATCAAAGTAACTATTATTCTTTTGACACGCCGACAAATATCATTAAGCACTCTGCCACCAAAATATTCAGATAGTTTTCTGAAGAAAGCATTTTTGACTGAAGAAATTTGCACTAAAAGACTCTTGTCTTATGGAACTTCTGACACAGGTGAGATACTGTAGATTTTAGCAATAGTGAGCAAAGGTCTGAACTTACTGTATTCTTTATGAGCAGGTTTTAGCTAAAGACACTACCAGGTGAAACGTTTGTGTATGTTTCTGCCTGTTCATGAACAGGTGGCATGTGTGGATGTGATCGACTTTGTCTGTTTGTTTAATAGTGTGAATGAAGGAGTGAATTTACTCAATGTATTTTTTGCCTGTGGCACTTTATCATTGATCCCAAAGGGTGTCACACAACGTCATTATTTTCCTATTTGAAAAAACAACTTCTTTTCATCCAACAGAATGAGCCCATAATGTAATAACAGTTGGTCTAATGTGCCTTCTTTACTTAACATTTACAGCCCAAACAGATTTTCATAACTTGAAATAATAATCAAGATTATTTGGCCTCATCGTATACACAGCAGTATCTTTGTTGTATTTATGGTACATGTAAAAACTCGACACTGTATGTTGTTGCCATTCTTCTATTTCTTTCTTATCAGTGCACATCTCTCTTTGGTTGAAATAGAAAATAACGGTGCGATTTCATATTCAAGCTCTGAAAAAGGATGTTTTCGACTGATGGGTATTTTTTTTTGTCTTCCAGTATTTCTTTTGGCAGATTTGCATGTTCATCTCCAATATCGACATTTTCAATAATGCAGAACAATGTGTTCTCGTAGTACTGTTGTATTACTCTTTTATAAATGAATGTCAGTGTAAAGTGTCTCTGGTGTGTTTTTTCTTTTTTTTTTGGGTAAATGCAACATGACGGCAGAAAATGACATGGCACTGACAACACTGAGTAACTCTTATCAGCATGATGAAATGAAGATGATCTGTAACAATGTACACATGAACTGTTTTGTATACTTGCTTAGTAAAGTGTCTCTGGTGTGTTTTTTCTTATTTTTTTGGGTGATTTTATTACATGAGACCCCTACACCTTACAACTCATTAGAGGGGCATTCTTTACAGGACATGCAAATTTATATTAGATTACATAATATTTAACTTCATTGTCAGTGCATGTCACAGGTACAGAGTAACAAAATAGTCTTGACTGTTGTGTCTTTAAGAACATTTGTGTCTGATTTTTGTTGTCTTTGAATTTAATATAATTGCTGTAGCAATTTAGTCCTTCCCCTTTAATTATTAATATGGTCTTCTTACCTTCTTGTCTCATTCTGATTCTTTTTGCCTCGGCAAATCTGATAAAAATTATTATTAAGTCCTATAATAAAGGACAAACAGATTTTGAACTGGTACAAAAGGACATTCCTTTAGAATTCTACAGAAAAAAGAATTATCTGAAGGGAAGGGTATTTAGAATTTAAAAGAGGGTACTTGAAAAAAATAATTCATCCTTAAAAACGAACATTTTCCCCATTTGTCTTTGATCTTTTTGACTTTAAATTTTTATCTACAAACCGACAAGGTTCTAAACTGTGCCTACTGTTTCATTACTTCCATCTTTTACTTAAGCAAGTAAAAGCTGTATTTGAAGTTTGTCTAATGTAAGAATGTGTTTTTTATATGTATACAATGCAAATAGTAGTAAACATGTGAACGGGTTTCAGTTAAGTTAAAAAATGTTTTAAAGGTAAATGCAACATGACAGCAGAAAATGACATGGCACTGACAACACTGAGTAACTCTTATCAGCATGATGAAATGAAGATGATCTGTAACAATGTACACATTAACTGTTTTGTATACTTTGTATACTGTTTTGTTTTTGTATATATATAAAAGAGGAAATGAAGACGAAAGCAATGTAACAAAAATACCTTCGTGGGTCCGTGTTAGTATAGTAAACGAACACAGAACTGGTATTAACATTAATAACTTTTTAATAAGGTTGCAAATGAGTAACCATTAACTCGCATTATTACACCTTATAACTAGCATAATTTAAAACTAATTAAGCGTTTAATCCGGGATACAGAGAGTTTGTGCTTACGCGACATATAACACCAATTGCTTGCCGTACTTTAGGAACTGTCATGGCGTCTGTTACTTGACTAAAAACTTTTGACGTGACAAAAAGTTTTTTCCAACTACGTCGTCTTTTACAGACTTGGCAGCTGTCCTCTTGGAGCCACGTATTGACCTTTCTCAATACATATGGCGTACAAAAACTTTACTTAGATATCCAAAATGTAAAAGTATGTTTTAACGGTGACCGGTGCAAAGATGCGCCGCTGAAAGCTAACCGAAGCTAATCTAGCAGCTTAACTCCAAAGCTCGCGTATTTCAGGGATTTTATCTCACAAAACATTGACATTTACTCACCAAAGCGCCTTGTTTCCGTCTTTTTGTGGCCGGTGGTTCTTGCAAAAATGTGTCGTTTCATGCGCTACTGTGTTAGCCACTGTTTGCATGCATCCATGACCCGGCTGGAGGAGGTGAACGGAGAGGTGAGCATGTGGTCATCCGTACGATGGCTGGGCTACTTGTCCGGGCTCAATCTGCTGTTGGCTCTGTGTCTGGGACTGTATGCCCGCTGGGAGAAGACAGCCGAGTCCACTCTTCTCGTCATTTTTGTGCTGGCGCTGTTTGTCTTGGGGGTATCATGTATATTGTACTACTACTTCAACATGGAGAGGGTCAGCCTCAGCCTCCTCCACCTGTGGTACGGCTTTCTTCTGGGTCTGCTCTGTCTCCTAAACAACAACGCTCTACAGGACGACGTGAAGGAGCAGGCAGCGAACTACATGCTGCTGGCCAGTATAGCTCTGAGGACGCTGTGGGCACTGCTGGAGAGACTGCTGGGATGTGCCAGGTATTTTTATTCAATTATTCAATGTATTATTCCTCTCACCTCATAATTTGCTCCCTCTCCTTCCACACCCACAATCCTCAAATCCTTCATTACATCTAGGAATCATCTCCGACATTACTGATTTTTTTTTTAAATTATAGGGACCTTAACAGAAACATATCAGAGAGATCAATTATCTCATAGTTAAATTATTCTACTTCACAACAGTTTGGCTGTTACAAAGGCAACATCTTGGGTTGAACAAACATGTACTTTGTCTGTTCAAGACTCCATGACTGTGTATCTTAGCTCAGAGAAGAAGTGTTTGTTCAGCCTGTCATGTACGCTGAACTGCAGGTATGACGTTGCTTAAGATAAAGTTGATACCAGTCAAACTGACTGGACCTGCACTGCTGCAGTCTCATTCCATAGTTGTGGTTGACCAAGCGTATTTTCGCTTCAGTTGCTCTAATGGAGACAGATATCTCATAGTATGCAAAAACCAGTAGGTTTATGCTGGTGGTTCAATATTTTTAAATTTAACTCACACAAAGCACTCTGAGAACAGGTTCATGTTGCATTGTGCTTGAAATAAAATGTTGAGCATAGCTACTAGTAAAAAGTACTTTCTAACAGACTTCCCTAAGTGGTTTGGTTTGTAGCTGCAGGTTTCATTAGCCAACAATGAGAATGACGTAAGGAAACCTTGGTGTTGGACCAGTTCTTTGTCTACACACAGTCCTTGTTGACACTTGCACATTCAACCTACAATAAAGAAAAGTACAGATAAAAGTCTGTTTCTCATATATATATAAACACATTAGATTATATGAAAAATAATCCTAAGAATACATAATTTCAGTACTAATAATGTCCCTACTTCCAGGTACCGTCCTGCGTTTCTCACCTCAGCTGAGCGACAGGAGCTGGCAGGTTTTGCCATCGCCAGCACAGTGCTGCTCCTTCATAAGTCTCTGAGTGTGATGGTGCTGGTGGTGGCACTGGCTGCAGTCATGGTCGCTCTCAGGATGAAGGCAATATTTGCCGTTCACAACCTAGTTTGCTTTACCGTTGTCACCGGAGTGCTGTTCTTCAAGTCTCTACAAATCGACATCAACCCCTTCGCCCTCGCCTGCTTCTTCAGCCAGCTTATCTGCGACCCTCTGCTGGATGTCTACTTCAGTGGCCTCTCGGTGACAGAGCGTTGGCAGCCTTTCCTGGTGTGGCGGGGCCTGTGGCGTCGGCTGTCCCTCCTGCCACTGCTGGTGGTGGAGGTGATCTTTATTGTTCTGGCCTCCCAAAAGCTCCGAGACCTGGACCAGTGGTACCTTCTGATTCCAGGGTTTATAGTGTGTGTACTCTTGTGGTCCATCTGCCACTTGGTGTTCATCATCACGGTGTGGGGCTTTCACACTAAGCTCAGCGACTGCCAGCGGCTCTGCATCTTCCAGGGTTCAGGGATCAGTGGACTGGACAAGATCATGGCCTCAAAGGGAATGAGACACTTCTGTCTCATCAATGAACGTCTGGTGATGTTCACGCTGGCGACCACCGTGGCTGTGGCTGCTCTTTGTTGGCAGGTATGGAAAGCAAGACACCACAAGTTTATTATACAGACACATCAGATTTAGATTCAGGGCAAGTAGCAGTGATTTCTCTATGAGCAATGTCTGAGCTTTTTAGTACCCATAGGGTTTACACCTAAGGTTAAGTGCCTAACCCATTAGCAATGTTCAATTTCTGGCAAACACAATAAAATAACTGTGACAGGATTAGTTCTTTAAAGGATTATGTATGGTTATGATGTCATGCAATGTCGAGGATATATGATAAGCATGACCTGACCTATTTCCAAAACAAAACTGACATCAACAGAAAAGTCTTTATACAGTATATATATTTATAGTTGTGAATTTAACAGTGGCTCCTGTAATTACTTCATTTTCAAAATATCAACCACATTGTTATCTGCACAGGCGTCCAGCAGCATCTTTGTGAGCATGTTCCTATTTGTTCTGCCTCTGGAGACCTTGTTCCACGGACTGTTCTACGAGCTGGGAAACAGCTTGGGAGGGACCTGTGTGGGCTACGCCCTGGTTATTCCCACCAACTACTGCAGGTTCAGTCACTTGTAACATTGTTTTGACTATAAACTATTGCCAAGTCTGGTGCAAGTACGCCTGTATTTTGTACATCACAGACATGATGTAAACACTACTTCTGTTCTGTCTTGCAGCCCTGACGGTCAACCTTTGCTGCTGCCTCCAGACCAAGTGCATGAGCTGAACAAACGCTCTACATGCATGCTGAACAATGTGCAGCGTTTCTTCGCTCATCACCTGATTGAGACGTTTGGCTGTGACTATTCCACCAGCGGGGTGACCCTGGAGGCTCTTCAGGCCAAGATCAAGTCCTTCTTAGACCTACGAACAGCGGATGGGCCACGTCATGACACCTATCTGATCTTCTACAGTGGACACACCCACAGGACTGGGGAGTGGGCACTGGCAGGTGAAAGAAGAGTCCGTTTTTACATGTTAAAGCATTGAAATAACAGATGAACCAGTGTCTCAAACAGCTTTCAAAAAAGGGGAAAAAATAGCAGCAGAGGGAAGGTTCACTGCAGCTGCACACACTTCCACACATTTCTAGTATCAAACTATAAGAAACTGTTTTTACTGTATTTACCAAAAACAAAATCTCATACGTTACCTTTGACATGTTTGATGTTCAGGAGGAGACACCCTACGGCTGGAGAACATCCTAGAGTGGTGGAGGGAGAAGAACGGCAGCTTCAGTTCACGCCTCATTCTGGTGCTGGACTGTGACAACTCCTCAGTGTGGGTGAGGGACATCAAGAAAGTGGAGGGACAGTATTTGGCTGTGCAGGGAGCGACTCTGGCCAGAGTGACAGACATGGAGCAACAGGATCCCCCGCAGCTCGGTGACTTCACAGCCCAGTGGGTGGAGTACAACTGTAACTCTGACAGCAGCATCCAGTGGTCACAGAGGGGAAGGGCAGTCTCCGCCACATACGGCATCTCTAAACACTGGAGTGACTACTCGTTACATCTGCCCAACGACAGTGACATCACCAACCACTGGAACATGTACTATCCCCGCGTCACGTACCCGGTGGTGCAATGTGCGCTGTGGTGCGGGACCATGAATTTCCTGGGCGTTGGTAACTTTTGCCTAAGATGTCTCAAGAGAATCAAACTCAACTGGTTTCCACCAGCCATACTGGACACTGGCCAAGGCTTTAAACTGGTCCGATCTTAGAGGAAATATGCAATATATTATAACTAGACGGAAAACTGGGTCAAATCCCCAACTACCGCATTTGTTTTTGTTACTGCAAAACTAACGAGTTACTGATTAATGATTTAAACTTGTCAGTTAACTATCAGCGTTCCTATTTTCAATAATGTGTGGTTGTAACTTAGAAATCCCTGTCAGATGTTTTTATTTGAGACTGAGCACATTTACTCCTCACAGTGCCTTATCACAACCCACCAAAGAACATCAAGGTCACTCGACTGACATTCTTAATCTTTAAACCAAAGAAGCTTTGGTACATTTCGAGAAAAAAAATCTCAGGTTGAAATTATATTGAGTTTTCTAGAGCACATTTTGTACTTTAAAGAGTAAAATATTTGTCTTTGAATTCCTACACTTGTGAAAGCTGTGAGAATATTATGCACTCCTTTTCTATGAACCAATCAAATATCCTATATACCCTTGTGAGAAACTATGCAATAAAATACAGTTCACTGCCTAAGCCAATAATTCCTTATCTTTGTGCCCACTCAGCCTTTTACTGAATATAGCAGCTCAACTCATGTGCAAAATTTATAAGATAGAACCTTTATAATACGGTTATTTAAGTTGTGTGCACTATGAAAAATGCATTTTCTTAACGCTTGTTTAAAAGTGTTTTTCTAAAGGTTTTTTGTAAAACCATGAAAACTGTTTATCATTTATTTGCATTGAGTATTGAATTATTGACTAGTAATTACTGAGTGCCAAGTTCAAACCTGTCACTTTCCATGAATGAACCACTTGCTTTGAATCTAATAAATGTTTTTTGTCATCCAGTTTGCCTTCTTCTAAGCCAGAGTTCAAGACTAAGAGAGACATTTTTAATAATGTTACCACCAAATAAAATTCACCAACAGCAGCAAACATATATTTCAACATTCAAATAATGGCAGTAGTGCCGTGTTGTCAATTTGTTTTTGATTATCTTTTATCACAAAAATAACACAAATTTATATTTCTGTTGTTGCACAACATAGTCACAGCAAAGTGTTTTTTTTAGGATTAGAAATTATACACGTTGACCAGATCGACTTATATCTATAATGTAGTACAAAATATCGACTACATTTTACGACAGAAGGAAGCTGCCAAAAACGGTCAATATTATTACATTACTAATCTGTTTATCTACAGCATATGTGAACTATATACAGTATATATACACTATATATGCTGTATATAGCAGCGAGTGAACAGTCCTCTGTCGCCCCCATGCGTATATAAGAGGGATTACAACTACTCTTCAACTAGTGCTCTTTTTACTTCCGGGTTAAACGACGTTATTCAAGAGTCAAAACATAATATTGCTGTAATAGAAGTTTTACAGCGATTAAGAAGAAATGTAAGAAAAACAAGCCAAGTTTTTTTGTAAATAAAAAAAATTAGATTTTTTATGGTTATAAAGTCGCCCATCAATCTGTTTTCAAAACTGCAGATGGAACAGACCAATAGTTCATCAGCTCATTGGTCTTAGCCAATTAAATACATTAACGGACACAAAGGCCCAACTTATTAGTAAAGAGCAGATTTTGCTAAATACATTCAGGAGAAATAACAAGAGCATGTTAACACAGCGGCCCAAGAAACAACTTTATGATTTAGAGTCATCAATGTCTGATTCACTGTCAGCCAGGACGTCAACAGGAGAGAAACACACGGGTCTAATCAAGATTCTTGCATTTTCTAATATAAATCATATTTTGTTGCACAACTTTAATCCCTTATTGGAACCATATTATTTATTTAGAAACTAGAGGCAGGCATTCTCAAGAGAAGCTTTTTTTTTATATCCCTTGCCTTGTTTCATTTGTACATCGTTGATTGATTCAAAAATGTAAAAAACAAACAAAAAAACAACCCTGAAAACTAATGAGAAATGATGTTATTAAAACAATTAAATAAAAAAAGTAAAGTCTTAAGTTTTATATTTAATTAAAGCAAGGTAAATACATCCAGTGTTGCATAAATGATGGAGTCGTAAAAGTGTAGTTTTTTTCTTTTTCTAAAGTTGATTTGGGACAGGACCATGAATGTGCTGGATCAGTCCCAAATCAAAACTTTAAGACGGTAGCTTTAAGATTCACCTTCACATAAAACTGACAGTTTAAATAAGACTCAACAGTGGCCTGAGCAGCTTCAGTGTAACAGGGCAGCATTTATGGCTTTTACCAAATAGAAGATTAAAGTTTTGGCTGATTCGTCAATCTGTCATCACTCTTATCTTCCTCTGCTCCTCTAATATGGTTACAAAAACTTGTTCTCGCTCTGCACCTCATCACAAGCTCCATTTCTCCTTCTCAAGGTATAGTTAGCTTGACTAGACTCTCCACCAAACATCACACAAGTTGGAATTTTACAGAGAACTAAAAAGTGTAAAAAGGATTGAAATAATAAATTCACATTTTGACTTGAGTGAATTAAACGATACAGTTTCTACACGTGACCAACTAAGAAAAGTTCGACACAGCACTGCGTCAGTGTGATTGTCGCTGATCTGATTCATCTGCAATTTTCTGTCCACATTTGACTTACCGGAGGCAAACACCCACAGTACTAACAAAACATCTACAAAAAATACCCAAACTATAGTCATCTACTGCGTATATCTGAAGTTAAATATCTATGACGCGGTTTCATTTATGTTTATACAAACTTGTTGTTTTTATAGACAAAGTGTAACGTGTGTGTTTCCTTCCCTTCAAGTTCAATTTTACGTGTAAGAAAATGGAAAAAAGAGAGCATCTAAACTGAGTGAAGAAATGTGTTATTACTAACCAAGAACAGCTTTTACAGTGGCTTTGGACAATTCTGCAGTGAAAAATAAAAATAAATCCGAAAAGAACTGCACTGCAGTGGACAATGAATGGGAACCAGTTCAGTCATCAAATCTGCAGCGTGTTGTTTGGACTCTGATTTTTCCCAGCTGCATCAGTTCAAATCAAGACTTAAGAAAATAACTATGATTTTTTTTCCAGTAAGGATCACGATCCCAGTGTTTATTTTTTTGACTCATCTTTTTTCCCTCCTCATCATTTTACATAATTGTAAATGAATGTTTCCTTTTAAAAAATAAATGAGGTAAATCCCTGTGGTACAACTATAACTACACGATGCACCGATGACATTTTTACACCCTCTTTTTCACTGCATGTCTACTTGGTTCACAGAAACGGTGGACAGTTGGCAAGAACGTATCCTTCTGTGTGTGTCAGTGTCGAAATTCTCCTTCATCCTTAATAATTTACTCTCCTTCCAAACCTCCTGTCCGTCTGTCTCCTTCAGCAGCAGTGAAGCCACCTCCTCTGGATCCTCGCTCGTCCTCAGGACTTCCTCTGCCGCAGAGTGTCCGAGCTGCCGTTCAGTTTGCTGCGCCCAGAAGGGGGAGAGGTGCTGCCGTTGCCCAGAGGACGGTCCTCATCACCGGGCGTTTCCTGTTTGCGTCGGCGGGTCTCTTTGTATCGTAGTGTGATGTCCCTGAGAGACGAAAAAGAGGTGCAGCTGTGAGAATACCGGTTTGTTTCTATTATACTTTTCTATTAATGAAAACAACTACGTTTTTCTTCCTTAATTAGTCAATATCTGCTTTTTTTAACAAGATTTCTACACATTGGTTCCACTACAAAAGGCAAATGATTTGAGGTTGCCACACATTTTTCTTTACCGAATGAAAAACCTCCAGAGTGTCCAGATGAGGATGAGGAGGATTCCCAGAAACCAGCACTGTATGATGAAAAAGGGAATGGGCAGCATGATGGTGTTGGGGTCGTACTTGACCACAATCAGGAACTCTGTCACGGTGATGGCTGCCACCAGCCAGGCCTGCTGGCCCAGCTTCTTGTGGAATTTTCTAGGGGTTAGGGTCGGCATAAATAACATTGTTATATAACAGTTACACAGCTGTAAGTTTTACAGAAGAAATGCAAAAACAACTACCAAAATTCTGACACTGATGACAATCTGTTACACAATGTTCCATGTCCAATAATAAACTTTTCACACCGTGAGCTGTGGGATGTCACATCCACACAGTGCCTTGTGTAACATGGCAACAAGTAATATCTTTGTAAGTGGTGGCTGTTCCAGTTTCTGTGTGTCTAACACAATGAGTTAACTCAGCCTGTCGGTACATGTGAGGAGTGGAATTACTGGTCGACTACTCACGGGTCATCCATGAAGTCATAGATCTCCCTCATGGCCACCCCTCCAACGTTTACAAAAAACACCAGACGGAGCAGCACCAGGTAGTGTTCAGGAGGCATCCACAGGACAAACTTCAGGTAGAAAGTGTTCAGTTCTGCCAAGAGGAACTGTGAAAGAAGTAAACACCAGTCTGTGTGTGTGTGTGTGTGTGTGTATGCAAAAACAGCTACTACGATACTGACAATTCATAAATAAAAACACTTTTGGGTATTGAATGAAACAAAACACACTCAAAAAAGAGAGGTACTCAACCCTGACTTTTGCAACTGACTGTAACACAGCCACTAACATTTGGTCCATTCTTACCATAAAGATTATGCCCAACACGGCGAGCCAGCGACGAAGGTTAGACGCTGGCTTCCACTCAAACTTCACCCAGTTGTAAGGCGTAAACTGGAAAGCTATTCGTTTGATTTTGCCCCTGAGAAGAACACAAAAATCACATGGAGGGAGAAATCACTTTAGGTTCACTGTAATGTTGACAACATCCGCAATGTATTTACATCTAAAACCAGCAAAGAAAGTAAAAAGAGTTGTATAAATGAATCAAAAACCATCATTTATATGTAGTATGTATCAGTATGGCTGTTATTGATGAATGAATTAAAATCTGGCCAGTTAAGAAGATAGTTGTCATACTTATATGTAGGAATGTTCCACAGGCCCTGCCACTGGTAGGGCTTCATCGACAACCAGGCCAAGGTTTTCATTCCATAGTAAATTCCCAGGCCGTTACAGACCAACACATCCATGATCCACTGAAATGTGAGACAAAGATCATACAGGCGTAATGACTCCACCACAGCAGGGATGGAGCTAAAGATGCACATGTGTAAGAAACTGACGTACATGGTCCCACCAGCATTCTGAGAAGTTTGGTAACTGATGCTCCAGGCTGTACTCCAGGAACTCAAACATCACACTGATTATCATGCACATCCACCAGTCCCTGATCACCAGAGTCTGAGGGAGAAGAACGGCAGAAGCAGGAAGAATTTTTTTTTTAAATTATGGACCAATATGTTGTCTTTATTCCTATGACACAAGCTAAAAATAGCTGTAAATGCATGATTATGGTCAACGACCAACTGCAAGAGAGAGAAAATGTTTGGTTTTAAGTTGTTCAGGTCATTTAAAACAGTGAAATATACAGTACCTTTATATACCATCCCAGGAAGTGGGCTGGGACAAAACCGTCCATCTTGTCCTACAGAAAAAAGAAACACTTCTAAATAAAAAAAAATTGGGGTTTGTAATATCAGTTTAATTGCAATGCAATCACTCCATTATATCACATCTTTTAAAAACACATGGGGTGTATAAATAAAAAGGTGTTTTTTTATTATAAAGTTAATTTAATTGAGAGACACTTTTTAAAATTTTTGTCTTATACATTTGAGACAATAGGCAATAATACAGGAATAAAGAAGATGATTATTCTTTTGGAATTTTTTTTTAATTTCTCTCCAGCTTGTTTATATTTAATCACTCCTCCTTAATTTGCACAAAAATGCAGAACATTGGCTAAGGAAAATGAGCAAATAATATATCAAAAGACAAAGACCAAGTCAGAGATTTTTAAAAAAAGAGAAACGGTTCAAATAATGATATGACATGAAAGCATGGGTGAAACAGTGGAACTCACCCAGATGTTGTGGAAGGGGTCGGTGGTGTTGCCTGGGTCATAGATGAGACAGTTTCCTCCATAGTCTCGCTCTGGGAGGGGCACACCCAATTTGGGGTCAATGTACTTCATAAACTGTCGTCCATCATGCACCGTCTGTCAACATTATGGAAAAACAGCAAATGTCATGTCATTAATGTGCTGTGGAAAACTGCACACAAACTCATTGTCTGTAAAAACTCTTCTATGTCTGCTGTTTCTCAAAATATTTCTTTTTATTTTATTTGTTTGTGTTTTGTTTACACCAATGCCAATATCAATGTCAACTAACAATGGCCTGTGGTACTGACATATGGTTCTGTGTGATGATGTTTTGATTTAATTTGCTCACTCTTAAAATACATTTTTGTTGCACCAACACCAACCTGAAACAGGATGAAGATGAGGAAGAGCTCGTAGACGACAGAGACACAGAGCCAAAAACGCCAGTAGGCTGTGGAGAAAAAGACAGAAATATTAGTAATTTATGACATTTAGTGGATCGTGACAAATCTTTTTTTCTTCGGGTAAGAAAGCTGCAGAACAACCAGGCCAACATCAACATAACCTTGTTAAACAGGTCTGGTTAAACAAGTGAAGGTGTTGAGACACAGTCCCTCTGTACAAACACCAAACAGAAACCTTTAGTCTTCCCTTCTAACAATGTAGCAACAGTGGCTAAAATAAATGTTAACTACTTGTCACTTCAAACAAATGCAATTGTAATTTTTTTTTTCTTGAATCACATCCACCCCCATTGTCAATGTCCACCAATGCAGACCATCCTCCGAGAAAGTAAAAGACAACACTGATATCCATGTGTCAAAACATGAGAATGGGTTACTTTCATACAAAGCAATAATGCAGTACTGGTAAAGTGTAAGTGATCAATGCACTCTTGTACCTGGATGTGGTCTGGTGAAAGGTCCATCTTTGGCTTGTGTCACTCCAAAACAGAGAAACACCAGGATGCTGGCTACAATCCCCCTAAAAGGAAACACAGTAAACTGAATCCAATTTATTAATTTCCCATATATTCTTTAAAAGTTTGAGAGGTTTTAAAACCTAACTATTCAAATATATATTTAGTTTGACCATATTTTCAAGGGATTCAGCTAGTAGCCAATCATCAGGAGGCAACTACAACATTTGGCCCAAAAGTAATCAATGTTATGAAAAACGTGACAGGTTTTCAGCAGCACAGCACACTGATTGCCGACTAAATCTATTTGGATCCTGAGGTTTACAATGTAATAAAACTGCTAACTTAAAACTAATGATTTAAGGTGATATTTCCTCATTTGTACTTTAAGAATGACTTAAAGTATATAGTGAACTGTTAAAACTCTTAGACACAATTTGTCTAGAAACACAAGTGATGCATTGTTGGTTGCACATTGCTAGGCTACAGAGCGTGTTACATTCTTAGTCTGTCATTGGTAGGAATTTCTGATTACTCGCCAACTGGGATTCTCTCTGTTTCTCTCCGCATTTCTCAACTGACCACAAACTGAACCAGTTTGAGGCCGTTTTAGGGACACGTGGCCCATGGGTAATTTTTTGAGTTGGGTTGGGTTAGATGTTTGGGTCATCCCCCAATTTGGAGAAGGTCAGTGATTACAAACACTGTCCAGAAATTACTGTATATATCCCCTATTAGCATGTTGCTAATAAGCCTGACAATAAGAATGCACGTGATTGGGATTGTATCAGTGTTAGATTGTGGTTACAAGAACACAAACTTGTCACAATGTCTGTTTAGTCAAGTGTTTTTAATCTGACTCACTGTGTATGTGTCTTCTGGGAAGAAGGTCACATGTATTAATCCCTAAGAGCCAGACGGTGCTGATGGCAGCAAATCCTGCTAAGTACAACAGATCAGCACAACACCAACATTGCTGCAACTATCTGCCTGTTGATCCAACAGTTAAAGCTAAGTACAAAGCTTCACCGGTGACTCCTGCATCTCACCATGTACTGGGGGCTTTTTGGCTAATGATAGCAAAGCTAACAAAACACTGCTGTACTCATTAGCTGGCATGTGCTGTGACCCCTTCTTTGGTGTGTGACTGACAACCTGACATGACCCACAACAGAACATTAAACAGAAATGTCATCAGCCGTTGCCATCACTTGGATGGACTCTTAGTGTCGTTATGAACACACAGAGAGGGACAGAAAAACTGGAGCTGCTTTTAGAAGCATATCTGCAGCAGGTCAGATTTTGTACCGTCTGCTTTATTCTGCAGGGACAAACAGGAAAAAGGAGAATTCACTGACCTTTTAGTGTTGTAGGCTGTGTCCTGGGGGGTCTCCTCCAAGAGTGTGACATAAACTAGAGCACAGGTGAGTATAAAGAGGACAGTCACAGTATGAGCCCGCCTGTAAAAGAGGAAAAGGACAATATTCTTACACAAATATCAGACACAATATTAATTTGTTCTGAATTAGTTCAGAAACTGCAACACCAGTTATCCATAGAACTCAATACAATATTTTGTTCTAGTCTCGAGAAGGGTGAGCCTGAACCGTAATTCTCCTATTAATGCATTAACAACATTTCTTTGCTTAAGCTTAGCTTCAGGTTGAATGATGTGTTGTTTACTAACGACTTAAAACCCACAGATAAAGCGGGGAAGAAACCTTGGCCTTTGGTCATAGAACTGTTCTCGTGTTTGTGCTAAAGATCAACCCGTGGTTCAAAAGTGGCACTGAACCTGTGGTGTGCGGCCCATTGTGGTCTCTAGTTTTATATACTATACATATTTGCTATATTAGCTGCTGCCTAATTTTAATGTTGTGCATACTAGTGGTTCCTGGAAAATCATATATTGTTGTAGGTTAAAAGCAGTGTGAGAATTTGTGTGAGCACACTGGAAGAACCAGTGTTCTAAATAACCAGAAACAGACCACTCCGTCTTAAAATGTATCTTAACCGGCTACATAACCAAAGCGTCACTTAAACACCTAATTACACAAGAACAACTGGGGGATAACTGGGGGTAAAAGAACACTCAGCCACATGTTTGCTAACAAGGAAAACAAATCCAATAGAACTGTATACAGTGATTTTGGATATTTGGTGGGATGTGTTTTGTTCCCCGTTGACTATACAATTAAGTCAGCTTTAAAGCTCATACCAGACAAGCAGTGTGTAAACAGGAAACCATGTCCCAGAGCACCATTGCTGTCGTGCACCTGACACAATTCCCCCCCAGAGATCAGTGATGCAGGGCAGGTGCTGTTCAGCTGCTTCAGCCAGACAATATGTTTTTGCGTTCATTAAGAAAAACTGTTTGAGGCACTGGAACAATGTCAACATTGGTCCCAAGTAGTCCAGTCATATGAAGACAGTTGTTTAATGATTGTTGTGTTTTTGTTTTTTTAAATATAAATATGTTTTTTAAATAATTTGCAGTGAGTAAATAACAGTTTTTAGTCACTGCTCTACTTGTTGCGGAGGATATATTCATTCAGTAATGATTGTTACAATGTATCTTTTGTGACTGTCTGCATATAACATTGACGATGCGTTTTGATTTATTACTGTACACATGCACTGATCCCATAGTGAGGCTGATTGAACCATGTCCAGACAGGTTTTTTTAGTCACACAAATGCTGTTATTAGGATCACCTCACTTTGTTCTATCAACATCCAACCTGTTTGTCAGGGGACACAGGCCACTGTGTCTCTGTTGCCTGACAACCTTAACACAACCTTAATACCAGCCTTGTTTGAGCGAGGACTACGGTGACCTTTTTCACTAGTTTCTCTGTAATTCTGCAGTTCTAAAAACAAGACTGGCTGCTCTTACTGGCAGCCCCAACAGCCCAACCGAGGTTTGAATGAACTGTGTTTATTAAATAAGTGCCACAAAAGCAAAAGCCTGGTTTGGTCGGTTTGTTTTTATTATAAAATTCAGACCAATCAAAGCAGGACCTTCGGTAGACAGGGGAAATTTAGTCGTAACTCTAGGTTTAAAGTTTTACTAGAAACAAAACAAACCCTGATTTGAGAAGCACATGAAGGTGACTTAAGTAAATGTATGTCAAGTTTAACGGAGATTATGTGCACCCTAATTATTGTTATGTGGTGTACAGTTTAGGTTGGTAGGACAAATGTATATATGTTTTTTATGTGATTTGTACAATAAACTCCACTACACTGTAAATACAAAGGACTGCAATAAGGCCCAGTGTCAGGAGTGGTTCATAAGTACACAGGAAATTATTATGCCGTAAGAAAGTACATAACAGCGAACCATGAACAAAAAAAAAAAAAAATCATAGTCATAACGTCTGTCTCTCCTATTGAACACTGTATTTCTAGTGTAAATCAGGTGTGCTCTTACTTTTGTGTCATTAGTTTTCATTGTCAGTGATTCACAATGACAACAAGTTTTCACAAAGAACACAAGAAGGGAAAAAAACTACAGAGGCCTTTTTCAGTCTAAGCTCTCCTCTATGACCTGACTCCTCTATGACCTGACAGGCATGGAAAATGTTGACCAACCAGTGTGAGACCACACTGCTTAGTGACTTCAGCCAAAAGCAGAAAGGAAGAACTTATTAACCAAAATGGAGTAGCTGCTTTGTTATAAATGTAACTTTTTTATAAATGGTGTTCAGATTGTGTTGTATCATTTACCTGTACTGTATTTTTCAGCTCCAGACATGTGATGTGAGTTTGAAGGAAAGGACACTTTTTTTATTACCAAATGTGAAAAAGAGTGACAAAATTGCCTAACAGTGAGACTTTGGACAAACTTCTGTGCTTGTTTTGCTGTGCAATGTTGCTGTGCAATGTTTATATAACATTTGTTTTCTAGTTATGTGTCAAACTGGTGGGCTGTGGTGTTATAAAACCCTCTCAATACCCCAGGATGTTTTCAGTTGGCTCATTTCAATGAACAAAAGTATCGTGACCTTCACTAATACAATAACAGGAAACCTAAATCCCAAGACTGTAACAAAGAAAAACAGGAAAAAAAATCTCATTAAATGTTCTCTATCAAAGAAACTTCTTGATCTACTACATAAGACATTGGGTAGTTTAAATCATATTTCTTAAATCCTGCCTGCTTTTAGCACAACAAAGTGCTGAAATTGAGAGTCATGGCAGCTCGGAATTACCAATTGCAGAAGGGAATGTTTTTCCAGATCAGCCTCGTGGCCTCACCTGCATTTTGCTCCTGTCAACATGCTGTGGCCACGTGTACATGTGCAGTAATGCTGGTCATTCATTGAGTTACAAATATAGACTGTGTGTCTTGAGCTACCTGTTATTTATTGTATAAAATTAGCTCTCTGTTCATTATGAGTCACTAGGTGGTTTTCTGTTGGTCTGTTTGAATTCTTGTTTATTATTAAATATAAAAACACATGCAAACTTAACAGGAAGTTTGTGAAATAGTGTAATCACATTACTGACACACCAGCCCTGCTCTTGAGACCCTAGGAACATGTGCATGTACCAACAGCATTGTAATTCTTTCCCCATGTTGCAACTTCTTATCATTCTCAAGCGAACTGGACTTAAAATGTTGTTTCAACTTATCAACTACTTATCAACTTATCCATCTAGTGCTGTTTAAATAAGACATGATCATTGGAGGATATTTGGGCCGGAGTATCAGTTCACCTTGAAACCTGTGACACATTCGCTGTTACCAAAGACATGCATGTGCTGCACAGAATGTTCTGAGTGTGGTGGCAAAAACACCCCTTTGTTGATGCAAGGCCATATAAAAGCATAAATTAGAAATAGACAGAGCTATCTGTGGTTGAGGTTGGGTTGCAAAGTAAAATGGGCCAACACTTTTTGGCATTGCTGTGTCTAAAAGGCTGTAAAAAAATCATTACAGCAAAGTGTCTGTGTAAGATTTTCTGTCATCCAGATCATTTTGATATGAATTTCTAAAGTAGGCAACAGGTTCTTTCAGAACCAAGCCAATTCTGAACTGTTTAGGGATCTTCAGGCTACTTCTTTGGCATTATATTATGTGTCACGTTGTGTATTTTAATAACACTTATATCTACAAAACATGTATTGTTATTGATTGTCATTTATTTAATATTTACAAAAGAACACTACAAAAGCTATACTACATACTGATGCCATAAAATAAAATACTTGGTGATACCAAGATCTAAGGTAGTTTATCAGAAGTAAAGATTTCACCTATTGTATTTAAATGTAAGATGGCACTAGTGAGCATTGTGCATTTTGTTAATCACGTTTCAAGAAGCACATGATGGCTGCTGATGTCTCCTTCAAATCCGTACTTGTAGTCTGTATTTAGGGCGCTGCATTTGACATTTACAATGTTGACATTGCATGGAATCACTCACCAGAAGAAGGTGTTGGTCCCATCATCATAGACCTCACATTCTGCGTTCTTGCGGTAGAGAATCTCTCTGGAGTTCTGCTTTATCACCTTGGCTTTGGTCGGTGCGCCCTTACCCAGGCAACATTCCGCATCCATTGGGCCATCGCCGATCCGCTCAGTCACGGCTGTGGCGCATTTTCCCGCAGTGTGGATCACGTTTGCCATACCGCTTCTCACCTCGGCTTTGGCCATGGCTTAACCGACCAGCACCGCTATGAGTCCTTGAGATAGTCGCTGTGTGGTAGGTTTATCCCTGAACTCTGCTCCCGTGGAGAGTCATCCGCGGCAGCCCCACCCAAGTGACTGTCAGCATCCTGGGGTGGTCGGAACAAATGTACGTTATTGAAGAGCGAGGGCGGAGAAAAACCTGAAAATCACGTCCAGCTATGTTAGTAAGTATGAAACACACCCTGCAATGACCTGCGCAGACATTACAAAACAGCGTGCAGCGTGATGTCGAGACTCGTTCTCTAACGCCGCCTACTGCCGCCAACCCATTTCGGAAGACAACTCAACTGTCAGGGAACAACAATGGCGACCACTTTACGGCATGTGTCCTGTCTGCATTTTAAAGTCATAAATATCCGGTGCGCAACGAACGGCGGCTAACAATGTTAGCTGTTTGTATCTAGCTGTCCTGGCTAATTAGACATTCTAACGCCTAGTTACACAATAGCATAGTTGTCAATCATTAAAACTTGACGTTTGAATTGACTCATCTATGTTGCAGGGTGTATTGCCCCAGTAGAAGACACGCTAACATGACTTATCAGTTTATAATATTTGGTTACTTACAAAATAAGCCCACAGTTGCTAATGCTAAAATAGTGCGACACAATATAAATGTCATTATAAATACGAGAAACACATTTTAGTGACTGACCGTGTCGCACCTAAATTGAAACACCATATGCTGTAGTTGCGAATAACTTGAGTCTCCTCTGTCACCACACCATTTGGACTTATACGGCTCACTGCAGGGAACGTGAAAACATTGATGTCATTTCCGGTATAACCCTTTCAAACAACAGTGCACAGCTAAATAAAGAAGCTGTTTTATTTTTGAACAAAAGAAAAACCCACGCCGGAAGTTGTGTATTAGATTATTTTCTGTGTTTTGCTAAAGATTTTATCCTCGTGGATTTATCTTAAAACATCCGTTATTGCACTTCGTTTTGCAACATCACCAATAAAATAAGTTATGGTTTTAAACTTTAAAAATAAAAGCATGTGTGAAATAGATATCCAAAAAACAAGGTGTTTAGTGAAACTATTAAAAGCATTTTATTTAAACGATGCTTGGTTTTAGGTTTTCTTTGTCATCACTTCCGCTTACCGACATAATTGACTTCCGAAAATAAAAATACGTTTTTTTCTTTAGATTTGACTTTTAATGATTTTGTTTTGTTATAATACTTTATTACCTGTAAATTATTGATGATTAAAAAAGATACATTTTATATTTCAATATTATTAGACAAGTCAACATTATCCAATTTTAAACTATATTTTAGATATATCTTGTGTAATGGTTGGCTATATTTACAAAACAACTAGTAAGGACCATTTTGTATTAAAACATTAAACGTTTCTTTATTTAATCTTATGTAGTTAAACAATGTCTTTCATGAAACGGAGGGGTTTTTCATGTTAAAGTAAATAAAATCTTAAGAAAGTCTTATCCAACTCACAAATGTCAGTGGATTCTGCCCTGTCAATTCCTTTTCTTCTACCTTGCATTTCTGCTTTTACTGGGTTTTGACATCTTTTTTGTACATCTGTGAAGAAAAAAAAGAACAACACGTTTGTGTCTTTGTCTGTGAGCTTGCGTCCCTGCAGCCAAAGGCTTAAGGCAAAACTCTCCACAGGCTAAACAAGGCACACGCTGAGCTGAGGGCGGTGGCGGCCTGTGTATCTTACACACTGACATCACATGTTTTGTTACTTAATAAGCGCAATTGAATAGCAGAAGTACCCTCAGGCTTTGGTGTTTGTCTCAACTTTTGTTTTATAACGTTTGATTTTATGACATTAGAAACAATTTGTATTTCAATACAAAACCTTTGTCAGTTTGTACCTTTGAAGTATTTTTTTTGTGATGACCATTTCTCTCACAGAGTGCTTAATACCTTCATACCACAAAGAACTGTAAAAACCACCACGATCATAGCATTTCTGTCCTAAGCAACTATAAAGTTGCTTAAATAATTAAAAAGGCAATGCTTATGTCTAATTTATTTTTTTATTTATAAAAAGGCCTCAAAAAGTTCTTAAGACTCCTAGAAAATGTTTGTTTGATCTTGCAGGTTTTACATCAATTGTCAGATACTTGATTAAATCCCAGAATGATGTAATGAATGGTTGTTAACAATACACTTTATTCATCTCAAACTACTCAAAGTACTCAGGTCAGCAGCCAGCACAATTCTGTTTTGTCTTTAAACACAATTGTTTCTAATGTATACTGAAAGTTGGTTAAAAAATGACGGCAAAGAAGAAGGTCAACTTGACTGCTATGGACCTGCACCAACTCGGATTTATGTTTTATGAAAAAATTGTCTGTAGTCCATGAAAGAAGACCATCGAATCTGGAGGAGCCAAAGAGATTTGACAAGGAAGAATGGACTGAATACTTCAAGTCATTTGTTTGTTTGAATGTACAATTTCCCATAAAACTAGTTATTCAGACACCTGTTGTAAAATACCTGCATTTCAAAAAGAAAAAGAAACAAAAATTGTATGTACATAATGTTTTTAATCAGAGACAAATTGGAATATATATGTATATATATATAAAACATGAAGCTTTTTTGTCCACACCAGTTGCTTCTGTTTAATGCGTAACAAAAGTTTGTGACCAACACAAACATATAATTTGGGGGAGTAAACCATTAAGTTGGAAACTGTCACTAAGTCAAGCAGGAAATCAGTGCAGGGTGTGTCACATGATGGCTAACTTCAAGCATGAAGGCAACATGTGGAGAAAACTGGTTTATGGGTGTCATGTTGACTTGTGGGATCAAATGACCATTTATCCCTGCAGTGTTGCCTGCAGCTTCTCTGTGACATCAAAAGGGTGAGTTTGTTCAGGTGAGTGGTCTGAGTGAGTGGGGGGTAGACAGCAACACCCGGGAAATGGCCTTTTAAGATGACGCTTTCATTAGGTCAAAAACAACAACACCCATATACAGCAGGTACAACAAAGAGGTCACAAAACACTAAAATCAGAAGAAGAAAAAAAAGTGGTTTAAAGAACTAAGTCTTGCATCGTGAACTGTCAGGTCATTATATCCAAGACATCAACAGTGTGACTCATTTCTATAGAAAGATATATAGAAAGGCGTTATGTTACTTAATATCTGAATTATTCTAGTCACAGGTATTGTGTAATGCAACGTTTATAATAATTTACATTAGACATTCCAAGGTCCTTTTTAGTACTCCACCTAATATCAGACAAAGTTTATGTGTACATATCTTCCACCAGTAGAGGGCAATAACACATTGAATGGAGTTTTCTGCAAAACAAGTACCTGCGTGGACCCCCAGTTGAGGATCTCTGATTAAAACCAGTTTATTATATGGAATAATCTTTTTAAATCATATATCTCTGTGTATTAAAGGGCATAAAACGTGTTTTCTCATCTATGGAGTTTAAAAAAACGGGACCACAGCATTCCCACGTGTTTACTAAAAGCATTGGTAATTTTTACCTTTAGCATAACTATAGCCGATTCACACAGTGTTTAAAAATACCTGCCAGTGGGGTCACGTGACCTATACAACGTTAACAATACAAATCTCCAGGTGTTCTCGCAAGTTTTTCAGCATTTGGTATTATCACGTGACCTGGTAGAGTCGCATGAAGAGGAAATAATTTTAAGTAGATGAAAGTGTGATAAACAAAGGAACTGCAGTGATTGGTGTATTTCTGTGACAACATTTGGATTGAGTTTCTGGTAATAAGTGCAAAACAAGACGATTGCATCCTAATTTAATTAGTAATGACACATCTGAAAGGACCTTCTCTGTATCTTACTTGATAAATAATGATCAAAAACCGAACGTTTGATTGCCCTAATATGAATTGCACAATTGAATTATTGTGTACCAACAGGATTCATGGAAACCTTCTTCTAAATTAAGTTTTATAAAGGTCTAAGTTTGGGATAACTGTAAAAAAACATACGTTCAGGCATTAATTTATATATTTATCAGTCGAAATATTTCTATTTAATGTCTAACCGATACTTTTTTCATTGCTGTAGTGATTTTTAACCACAAGAGGGCGATGTGCACTTGTAAACCACTCCAAGGCGTTGTCTGTCCAGTTTTGTCTGTAAAACGACAGAGGACGAAGACCCACCGATGGCTAAAGGTTTGCCGAGATTTATTACTCGGTGACGTCAGAAGTCTTTTAAACTAAGACATTTATATATTTATGTATACTCCGTGTAACATTTGAAAAAAATAAAACGAGCTGATTTTTTACCTCTCTGTGTAAACTGTGTAGACTGCTGAGCGGACTGATCCAATCCGTATTGTTGCATGCGAAGAGTGTATGTGTGTGTGAACGATAAAGAGTCACACAGTAGAAATATTCCCCTAACTAACGCAACGACTACCAATAAAATATCAAATTTAGTAGACAAAAAGAATATGTGTCCATTATCGGACACATATTGGGATAAATCCTTGCCTGGTTAAGGATAGATTACTTTGTTTAGGGCAGATAACCACAGGCAGCGCACAAAGTGCAGCTCACGTTGACGTAGGGAAAAGTCTGATCAGTGTTATTATCACTGAGCAGCGGTTTGGCTCTGCTCCGCCCTCCGCCAAATTGGCTCTGAGAGCGGACGGGAAATCAGGATGGGGGTTGTACGTGTTTGTAGGAGTGTGCGTGCGCGTTTGTATACGTGCATGTGGTACTAGAGAGGAGGGGAGAAGGTGGATGACGACATTTGCGTCATGCGTACATTTCCTCGTCGGGTTGACAGGCTTTATATGCTCCATGTCTCGCTGCTAAGGTACATTTAAACACAAGGCTGACGTGTGGAGAGAGGTTGAAGTGAGGAGGAACTGTAACACCAACACCTGACATTCTCTAACCAGGGACTAACACTTCCACATCTGAAATCTTCTTTTTTGGATTTGGTTTTTTTTTTTGCGATTAAAAAAAAGGGGTTTGGAGATGTCCAACGTCCAGTTATCGAGCAGTGCGCTGGAGAGGCTGGTGGCCAGGAGGACCTTTCCTCTCCACAAGCGCACCAGCGTCTGTCGCAACCTCTTCGGACCCGTGGATCACGACGAACTAAGCCGGGAGATGAAAACCAAGATGCTGGAGATATCTGAGCGCGACCAGCAGAGGTGGAATTTTAATTTTGAGGCTAACACCCCCCTGGAGGGGGATTACGAGTGGGAAGAGGTGCCTGTGGATAAGACCCCGGTGTTTTATCAGGACTCTGTACAGAACGGCAGGACTCGGGTACCCGCAACCCCCGTCAAGCAAAGGCCCTCGGCGGACTGCGCTCTCCCAGAGACTCCTGTCATGGACGTCCTGGAGCGCCTGGTCTTACCCGAGGACAGCAGCAGCAGTAGCAGCGGCAGCACTAGCAGCGACCGTAGCCCCGGCCAGGTGGAGATTAACCAGGAGAATCGCACAGACAAAATCAACTCAGGGAAGAAATCGACTCTCAGATCGGTGCCGTGTGTTAGACGCAAGAGGGCAGCCACTACCGACAACAACACACACATCACAGGTAAAAACACGGCTCTTTTCTCCTCTGTGTGCGTGAATCTGGCTGCAGCGTCCAAAATATCCACGTTTTTAGTTTCTAGTGCTTAACATATCTAATATTTTGTTTTTGTTTTTCTTTGCAGACTTCTTCGTGAAACGAAAGAAGGTCGTTGACAAAAAATCTGAGATTGGTGCCTGCCATCTCTCCAAGTCTCCTATCCCGGTGGAACACACTCCACGAAAAAGGATCCGTTGAAGGTATGATGATTTTTATTATCATTATATGATCAGATTATTAGATAATTTTGATTTATTTAAAACAACATCAGTTCGTGTTGGGATTTATTTGAGGTTATTTTTAAGGGATGAGTTGTTCTGGGATATACTTGAAGCAGAGCGCACCAGAGTCCTTATCAGGCCGAGGGGAGGAGAGCGCAGAGCACGGAGGGGGTGGGGAGAGATTGTGCTGCTGAAATTGCAGTCGTAGTGATAGTAGGAGCTGGAGTAACTCTGCTGGGCGATGGGGGAGGGGTGATGCGCGTCACCCTGTGGCGGGAAAGGCTCTGGTAAAGGGTGACGCCTGCTGCTGCAGCTGCACTTCTACCGTAACTCAGTGTTTTCTCTTTCCAGAGAAAGTGGATCTGAAAACTCACCAGTGTCTTTTTTTTATTATTATTTTTTTCCAGATTGTTCAAATTCTTTGTCGACGTTGCACTACTTGCCTGCGCATTTTTGAGGGAGTAAAAGATGTTTGCACCGCTGCCGGTCACTCGCTCCGACTTTGGAGGGGACAAAGGACGCATAGTGATGCGGGAGAAGACGCACCGAGCGGCGCATCCTGCTGCCCGGCAGACGGCAGCTGGGCTCGGGCTCCGCAGCAGACTCTCAGGACCGAACGGTTTGGGGTTGGTGGAAGATTTCAATTTAAAATATGGGGGTAAATTTTTGCCGAATGACATCTATGTATCCAGTACAAATGTAGCATTCAATATTGCTTTTGCATGTACAGCCACTCGACAGTGTTAAATGTTTTAACATCTGTGCAATCCTATAAAAAGAAATGTCTACACTGGCCAAAAGTGTACAGCTTTATAGAAACAATAGGTTGTGATTGTTCATTTCTGTCAAGTTCTGTTTTATTTTTCCCTGTAAATTTATATTTTTAAGTCTATTTTAACTTATACTTTATTTATGTTGCCTTTATATTTGTCAAATGCCTTGTTGATTCAGCCAAAGGGCATAGGCTATTTCCTATTTTATTTGTATGTTATTTTATTATTTACATTTTTTAAATGTGATTTTTTTTTCTGCAATCATGTAGCTTCCCCTCATAGTCCACACTTGAAAAGTAGGTTTCTTTGTTGTGTTTTTCTGAGCCGCTGTTGTTGTCGTTGTTGATGTTAATATTATTGTTTTGTGTTTCGTACCTACAAGTGCCCTAATCATGCCTTGCAAAGATGGGAATAAAAAATAGTTTTCACTTCAACTTTGGTTGTTGGTTGTGTTTTTATTTGCAGGTCAGTTTTGATTGATACTTTTTTTTATAGAAATTGAGAAAGAAAATGGGGATAAATAATGGATTTTTCCCACAGAAACATTTAATGGAACAATTTTTTTCCTTATTATTAAAAATGTATTTTGTGTGTTTTTATTATTTCAAAGTCAGAGCCTCTGTAGGGTCCTCACTGTGGACCCAAGTATTGCCATAGACAATACTGTCTCTGTACCTCCTCTTCAGGGGCCACAGGTGTATCCCAGTTTGCACACAGTCCAAATACCTCGCAGGGCCAAAAAGTGCATTAAGACACGCAGCCCTGGGCAGCACGGCAGCTGTGTGGTATAGGCTGGGATTTAAAGGCCCTCTCGTCCCTCTAAAGAAGCAGCAGCTGCCTTTGGATCCCCGCTTTGTCCGCCACGAAGACACCCCCACATGCACCCACACTCAACAAGCCCTTTAAAAGACACACACACACACACACACACTGTGTTTACCCTGCCGTGGATACACCGGGTGTGGAGGCCACCTGCCAGAGCTGGAAAAAGAAAACTACAAGTCTTTGTAATTGTCTTCGTCTATTGAAACAAACCATTCAGCAGGTCATACTTGCAAGTTTACCATTAATTGAATGGAGACAAATGCAGCAGGAGCATGAATGCACACTTGGCCTTCACTTAGTGTCAGCCCAGATGCAAAAAAAAAAAAAAAAGGAGAAAAAGGAGGAAGCAGAACATGCAACTCCACCATAATTTTCCACGAGGTCTATGTGGTTGTGTTAAAAAGCCTGACTACATGACACGAGTGTTTTGGATGAAAATGGAGACTTTTGATGGGCGAGGTGACTTTGTCAGCTCCACGCAGCCATAAGCTCTGACGGCCTTGTTCTGATTTCCAACACAAAGCACTCTCCAGCTCCATTCTTTCCTTTTTGTTGCCATATGGCAAATCCATGTAGACATAGCCAAGACCCATTCAGTCGGCCACAGAATGTCCTGCATCACGGAACAAAGGACACTTTGTCTGGCTGCTCCATTGGTACGAATAGGCGAAAAAAATATTATAATTAATCTATGGCTATATCCAGCTAATTAACGCCCATATGCCCAAGGGGGAGCAGTGGGGCCTTTCAGTGTAGTTTTAAACTCTCAATAGTTTACATGTTAAAGACAACAGCTGTTCATGTGTTACTTTAATGAAGTCTCCTCTATGTTGGAGACTGGACACATTCAGGGGGTTCAAGTTCCCCCCCCCCCCCCCCCCCCAGAGTTAAAAAGGTCATCTTCCCTTTTTGGTTGCTTTAGCTGTGTAACTATAAAGATTTTGTATCAAAATAATTTTGATTACATTTGATTGAACTTGAGCCAGCCGAGGAAACAGGCTTTGCACATGAATGTCAATTGTTTTGACAATATTAACCATTTGTATCACAGTATTTGCGTCCACACTGACTCTACATTGGGAGGTTTTATGACAACAGAGGTTTGTCAAGTTTACAAGTTGAAGCATTGGTAATCAAACGATGTGTATTTTAGAAGTTTAAAATGTAGTATTTTATAAGATGAATAAAAGTAAAATATTATTAATGCCAACTACACATTCTTAGCTCCCCAAATCTTCTAGAAAGAAATCATATATTCACTATAAGTAATATCTTTTTTCATGTCAATAATATTTACTTCCAACTTCTGGAAATAGTTTTTCAACCTGTAAAGATGATTCTGCTTAAAAACAAAGCATTCAGATTTTGCTGCTTACTTCTTGTGGTGTTTTTTGAAATCCTCTCATACACATTTGTCTTTTTATTTTCTTACAGCTTCACGAAAAGATACGATTTAAGAAGTGGAACATATTTTGTGGGGAAAATGTTTGTTAAGTGATGTGCCTCCCCTTTTTTCTTTTTTTCTTTTTTTTAAAAATAGCTTCAAATTAAACTTAAAGGTTTAAAGCATTACCAAGTTAAAGCACATCACGTTTGTGCTAATGTTTCACAAATATATTAAGTTTTGTCACTTATTTTCAATTGTGGTGATGGAAAATATGGAAAATATTGCAATTATCTTCAGTATCCTGTGTCTAGAAATACCGTTTTTGATTTGTGTAAATCCAAGATAAAAATAGAAACTTGTTTTTGTCCTTAGTTTGGACACACATTTTCAGACAATAAGCTTTGATAGAAGAAAAAAAAAAACACAACACCATTTTAACATTTAAACCCAAATCACACTTTGTTGATGTATTCTGAATAAACTAATGCATTTTCTACTTCATGCCAAGGCTGTAATTTTTTTGGAGGCAGGAAGAGGGTTTTTAAATTTAAATACCAGCCATTCAAGCCATCTAGATGATTGGCACAGAGGAAAGAGATGGCAGCTAACATACAGAGCTCATTAAGCAGCGTGTACTGGGGAAATATCAGCACACAGCTGCTGATGGAGACAATCCGACTCACAGGCCCTCTACCAGTCCTCCAGTCTCCAATTTGACCTTTAGGCCCATTCACTCTTCCAGCTCTACACAGAGAAGTCTCTTGGCTGAGGCCTCCATCATCAGTAAAATTATATCACACACACATATACTATATATATATATATATATATATATATATATATATAGTTGTAAATATATCTTAGGGGCAGCTTTGTACTCATGTTATCGGCCTTTCTTATATTTAATTTAAATTTTAATAAATGTCAGAGTAAATTCAAAATTCCCAAACGTACTGAATAAATACATGTACAAGTACTTAATAATAGTAATATGTGTGAGATGTGTGAATTTAAGATACTTTATTTTTCAATCTCATTATGTAATTTCTTACAATAAAGTTCTGAGTCTTTGCGTATAAACGCTGTTATTAAAATAAATAAATAAATAAAAACGTACCATGTGATACCTCATTATACCATGTGGTATCTAGCGTATCGCCTTTAGGAATGACTTGAAAAATCAGTCGACGTGAATAACAGGGCAGAATGACATAAACTGTTACTTAAAAGATCAAAATTATTTCTGTATTTAAAAAAGTACCCAGAACCTCGCAATTAATGGAACAATCTGCAAAAACTACAATTAAACATACAAAGAAGGAAAATCAGCCAAGAGGAATTAGCATTTTCCATGACCATCTGGCATCGGCGCAGGCGACGGGGAACAATGGAGAGTTGGATGGAGAGAAGAGGCGAGTGTGCCATCGCATTGACCTGCAAATGAGGCTTTGTCACCGAGTTAAAGCTCCCTGACCCCCTTTACCCCCTCCCCTAAAAAGACTTAAAAAAAAACCTATAGCGTGACGAATGGAGGCCCGGATCCAGGTCTGTGTGTGTTTTGGAGCCGGAGACCAAATCTGTCCAGGAATTATCGACCGTGTGTAAACAAGGACCTCGGAATTCTCCGTTTTCATCAAAACCAGTGTATTTTATTTAAGAATGTGAGCAACGCGGAAGAACAATGTCAGCACATGTGCACGGATTTGTGCAAAATGGACTCAAACACAGACTAGTGACGGGGAAAATCGTGATTTTACGCACTGAGCCAAAAATCCATTTTACGCACAAAGAAAATCCACGTCTCCTCCTTTGTTTTTACCGGTGCATTTATTCCAGTGAATTTGACTAACTCAGTCTCTTATCCTTCAGTTGTCAAAAGACTTTTTTCCTCGGCCTTGCTCCTTGAATAAACAAAAAAGGCGTGCATACACGCTGAATCCATGTGTGTGTGTGTGTGTGAGGATGTTTTGATGGTGAAGCTCGTTATTGTGGTGGAGCACCTGTGCCGCCCTCACTACCAGCCCCCACCCCCACCCCACTTCAGGACTGGAGCCCAAAGACACGGACCCACGCGTTTGCATAAAGGTGATCCACCCCCCCCCCCCCCCCCCCCCGTCCGTGTGTTGTGTGTGTACATGAGCTAGAGATAATTTTCTAATGTGTGTGTTTTGGACCTGTCATAAACTACAAAACGCAGACATAGACATATAATGAAAATATTTTCCTTCATACAATAAGTTTATTAGGTAATGTATTATATTTTTTTCAACGGCAATTTCATAACACGAAAAAAACAAAACAAACATAACTGACGTTTTTCTATATTTTGATTAAACTTCTTACATAATTTCTAAGCAACGTTTTGCTTTATTTACGGACCCCTAATAGATTTTATACAATGTTGTTATTATGTTGTTATTATATATCATTTCAGTTTTTTCTTTTAAGGTAATGATTTAGCTCAATGTAGCTAACCCTCAGCTACATAAGTAATAATTTAAATAATAGTTTTCCTAATTCTTCTGACCATCTATTGCTGTATCACACGAAAGCTGGCCTATTTTATTATTGTTTGTACTACCATTCTTTTTAGCTTAGCCTATTTAGATATTTCTCATGGTTAATTTTAGTAAATTAACTATTGACCTTTGCTAATTTGGCTGCGTTTTGTTCCAAAATATCGTTATTTTAGCTAAAATGTCATTTGACATTGACTATGCTTTTCTTCATTTTTACATTATTAATATACATATATTTAGAAATGTGGACAATTTGACATCTTTTGACTACATTGTATAATCCGACATATTTGAATGGCACCTCGTTTGAAATACCATTTCCTACAATGCCTCTTGGACCTGGTCATTTTCTTCCTTTTTTTCATTTTATTGAGATACAAGTCACTGTGTGAAAACTACCTGAAATCTACCCTAACCTTCAATTAATCAAGAGAACTGAAGTGCAAATTCGTGAATCTATATATTTCCCGTAGAAATATTGTCAACAAACGCGGATGATGATTAAAGTTAAAGGCACAACATCTGGGTATATTGACGGCAGGTGTTGAAGACCTCAGACAAACCAGTGTTTGCATGAATGTGCTGAACGGGCTTTGGGAGAATAGAACAGAAGCGAAGTTTCCGCATTAGTGTAGCAGCATTAGAAGCACTAGAAGCCAAAAAGTTGCTATTGGTCCGGGTTTCCCTACGCGTGGTCGTGCTG